TACAGAACCTACCTATTGTGTTTGTTATTTATTTGTTCTCGTCCTGAATATGCATGAAATATTTGCTACTGGACGTTAAAAAAAAACAAAAATCAATCAATCAATCATAAGAAGCAGGATCTGTTCACGCTTCTGGAGCACCTGAGATCACGCCGGGTTTTTAGTGGGTTTTGTGTTGCTCAGTCTTTAGATTTCTATGTTGTGTTTTGTATACTGTTGTTTGTCTTTTGATCGTTTTTCCTTTTTTTGCCATGGGGTTTTCAGTTTATTTTCGACTTATGAGTTTAAATGTCCCATTGGTATCTTTCGCCTATCTTTTAGTTATTATCTTTCCCTTTTCATGATTTTGGTTTTATTGATTTCATGTTGTATTCATATTTTGAATTTGAAACATACAAATCTCTCGAGAGGGCAATATTTTCTCCGTTGGTAAAATAAAATCTAATTAGTTTGTTTATTTGCATATGGTCTTCTATGAAAATGTCTACGAACGTGTGAAGTTGTTGTTCAATGTGTTAAAAAGATATGCAATCAATTGTAAATTCAGTAACGGCGATGCAACAATCTACGCACTATTTTGCATAACGTCACAAAAGGTCAAAGACAATATGCATATGTTGTCCTTGTCTTTTTTCTCTTTTAATGAATTATAAGTTCTGGTATTGAAGGTGTATAAAAATTATAGTAAATTGGTGGGAAAATGGGAGACCAGTAACAACAACAAATAATTAGCAGAACATGCTCAATGGTGGACAATTAATTTTGTGTATTTTACCTGAACAACATGATTCATTAAAATAATTCACACGGGAAAGTCTATGCAAAAATTTACGATAATAACACGATTTTTCGTTCCTTTTTGTTAATTTTCCTTTTTTGGAAGGTGATGTTCCTCCAGTCAGTTCTTTTTTGTATATTTCCGAACTAATTCATTATGTCTGTATATGAAGTGACGTTTAAGATTTCAATTAAATTTATCTGTGTGTAACTGGTAAATGACTAAGACGGTAATTTCGTTAGCACAAATTACTGTATAGGAATCGTATAGCAAAGTGAATATATATGACATGCTAATTTCTACGTTGATGATTTTATTTTATACAGCCCGTACATTTAGATACTATCCACGTAAAGTTCTTGATTCTTTGAATACACTTGTTCTAAAAAGCTATAAAAGATTTGACCTAGTAGTAAAATATTTGAATATTTTATTAATCGGTGCTAACATTGATTCTGTTTATAAGAAATTAAAACATAACTAAACATGTATTGATCAACAGAGTTACGAACAATTAGGCACCGACTTCTGTTGAAACTCATTAAAACATTTTTATTTTGACAGATATTTTGAGGTATTCAATGCATCTTTCATCAATTGTAAGGAAAAGTGCTTCTATCATTTAATGGTAAGCCAGAAAGACTACATCTTCATACCATACATAAGTGTTTCATTCATATGAAACATATAATGGACAAGTAAATACATCAATATAGTATGGGGGAATTTTCAGTTGTTGACTTGAACTTTCAACCCTTGAAATTGCGGACATCATTTAAAGTTATTGAATATATCTCCCTCATTTAAAGCTCTGAATCCGTGTTCGGATATTTCTACACATTCGGTCTTTTTTGCATCAGGTCTGCAACGTTTGTATTAGGTTTTAGATTTCTAATTAGTTTGGACATCATTGAAAACAAATGCACTGTCGAAATGCGCATATGGCACAGTAAATTTGATACAATTAATATTATTACTAAGAAATACTGAGAAAAAAAAGTATTCTATTGAAAATGCAGGTTTCAGTGAACTTCAGGCATAAAAAAATAAGTGTATTTAAAGATAATACAATTATGTCAGAGCCTGTACACACAATAGCTATTATACCGTTATGGAATTGGATAAAGATTCATATATTCAAAAATGTTTTCAAAATAAAAAATGTATGGATTTTGTAATCTGAATGCAGTTCAGAGTCAAACGAAAGCAGGAAGATGGAAATATTCATTTAGTAAATTTTCACTCTATTATTTTGAATTTATCGTTTAGAATTTGTTAGATACAGATCTCATCCAAAAACTGAAACATCACATTTGATGTTTGAAAATATTGTGATGATACATGTTGACCAACTATAATTAATAATTGCTAACTGAGGAAAGACCTTATCGTGAACACTTATTCTTATCAAATAAGGTTCACCAGACACATTTGGTTAAAAAAAATTGGAAAAATTACTTGTACATCCAATTACCTAGAAAACAAGGTAAGGACCTGAAGATGAGCTAAAACCATTTTAGGGAAACTGAAGGTTTCTAGAATTCCTGATGAAGACTAATTAGGAAAATAGCTTCGATCTCAGCAGATGCGGTGTATTCGGAAATATGGGTTCTCAATGCTCTTGAACTTCATACTTTATTTGTCTTTGAAATTTGTTTTATTCGAGTGTCACTAATGAGATTTTTGTACACGAGACCTGCGTTTGGCGCATGTAATTTGTTAGCTTGGTATCTACGATGAGGTCATTTATTTCATGTTGATTCGAATGGTCAATATTTTTACGAATTTTGCAACATATTCAATACATCTTTCATCAGTTTTAAGATTTAGTGATTCTATTCTTTACAGATAAGCCAGAAAGAAACTGTTTACTCCTACATACCATACATTTATGTTTCATTACTACAAAAAAAAAATTATTCATTTTGATGTCAGACACTAAATATATTTTCAAGAATGTTAATTTCGATATTTTTTAACAGATTTATATTTGTAGAATGGCAGACATCTTCTGAATTGCTGTGGTTTTTTCTTTGATTTGGAAAATCGGTGAAAATATCGGTCGATGTGGTTAAAAATATATTTAAAGAATGTATACATATCTATTACATTAAAATGTAACATAAAAATTTGATTGTAATAAACTGCAAATATATAGAAAGTAAAATAAAAATACCAAACTCAAAGGAAAATTCAAAACGGAAAGTCCTTTATCAAATGGCAAAATCAAAAGCTCAAACACATCATGGAAAACAACTGTTACATTCCTGATTTGGTACAAGCATTTCCTTATGTAGAAAATGGTGTATCAAACCTGGTTTTATAGTGAGCAAAACCACTCACTTGTATGACAGTTGTATATAATTCCATTTACATTGAGAACAATGTGTGAACAAAACATACAGATATAATAGGAAAAAATGTCAAAAATAGGGGTACAGTAGTCAAAATTGTGTTATAATCTTAATCACTATAAAAACAAACAAATATGTCAATAAAGAAAAAACAAAATGGCATATAGATAAGTGCATAAGCAAAAATGAAAGACAAGAATACAAAAAATGACCATAGCACAATAACACAATGGCGGGGTGTATAAGTTCCGAGCCACACCAAAAGAATATTACCAAAAATGGACTAAACAATACAGGTTAATAATTTACAAATACAAATAAAAGAACACTATAACACGTAATTAAGATGATACACTTCTTCAGTGCTTCAAATTCGAGGTATAAGTCTTAAAATGAGGCGGAGGAAGCTGTCTTAAACGCAATAACATATCAAATACCGAAAGATTCGGTAAAAGCAAGAACAATAATGTTGACATACTATCTGAGTTAAAGAGCCAACAGCAGAATACCCATGTTCGTAAACCGTACATCTGTGTTCAACAAACAAATCAATTTGAAATAACTGGTGGAATAGCATAAAATCCAAACGGGTGCGTCGACTGGGTAAGCGTCTATAAAACAAAGAAAACATTGTTTTTTTTATGTTAATTTGAAACTAGAAATGAATAAAATTTAGACAAGGTATCTCCATTTCTCGTTTGACTTACTAGAGCAGGCGATTTCAGTTTTTATAGGTTATCTTTGTGTTGCTAAATCTTAAATTTTCCTGTGTAGTGTTTCGTGGACTGTTGTATTGCGTCTTTTCCTTCTGGGTTCGTCCTTAGTTTCGTCATACTTTTTAACACTCTTTTCACCCTGCAGAATGTTTTTCAATATAATTCATGTGAATCTGCCTATTTTATATTATAAATAATGCAATAATATACACATAGACATAATAGATGTGGTATGAGTGCCAATGAGACAACTCTCCATCTAAGTCACAATTTGTAAAAGTAAACCCTTATAGGTCAAAGTACGGTCTTCAACACGGAGCCTTGGCTCACACCGATCAGCAAGCTAAAAAGGGCCCTATTTATGGAAATCCGAGAAACTTAGTTCTTAGGAATATTGCACGTACACCTGTCTGTACAGATCCTGCAATGTTTTTTGTCAAAATCCAGCCGTTGTTGGAATCAGAAGGGATTTGGCAATAATCTTATTTATTTTAACACCGTATGAGGGGAAGAAACTCAACTTAAATAACTTTAAAGAGCATATTTGTTTTTATGTTGCTCTTTATAGACTTATGGAATCACACGAAGGGTGATGCATGCAAAGTCGGGACTTATTAGTTTAAGGGGCAGCTATTGGAATTTTCGGGAAAGTCTGTGTTTTCTAGACAAGTTTTTTATACAAAATTCTGATTGTTAAATACTTAAAATCAAGAATTGTTTTCTGGAATTTAAAATGGTTTATTTAAGAGCAAATTACAGGCCTATATTATTTGTTAAATAATCTTTTAATTTTAACATAATAAAACAGAAAATTAAAATCAAAATGTCTTGTTCCTTTTTTTCAATGGTTACTCCCTTTCTCTGTCGACGCACCTTGTCTCACCACTGATTCCTCGTACCTCTCACAATACATATACAAATCATCAATTAAATCAATTGTTAACATGCGTTCTAGACGCTTATCTTACGACCAAAACAAGGTTTATTGTCATATCTCTTCTTTTTTTCTTATGGTTTTTGATGACTTATAATGCACTTACATGAGAAGTCATACAAAATTGCAATCCTCGTATCTATGATGAGTTTATTTACATGTTTGACCTTTCAAGTTTTTGTCTTTATAAGTGCATAGTTTTCTTTTTTATTTTGTAGAAGAAATATCTTAATTGGGGACCTTTTTGGAACAAAGCTTTCAGAGGATATTTTCATTGACGGCGGTTTGGACTTGTGTGCAATATCCTGATCTGGTATTCTATATTAATCAACGAATATTGTTATGTGTAACCGGGTACTTGTAATTTTTATCTCGTCAAACGTACAACCTGTTTTTTTTTTTAATATTATGAGAAACATCGCAGCGTTTCAACATTTTGTGGGACAAATAATCACACATTTGCCTACAATTAATCGTTTGTAACCGTTCCATTTCACATCGACCATGAACAATATAGAAATACAATTAGTAACTGAAGTCATCAACTGCTGAATTGTATTAAAAATGAAAACAACAATTTACAAATTGCATACGTCCGTAGAGCTTTCCAGGATTTACCTTCACTTGGAATTTCAAAGTCAAATTTTAAAAAGCCAAGGATGTAGAGGAACAGAAACAGTTGAAGAGCTATATGACCAAAAAGGACATAAAAGTAATAGTCAAATCAATGTAAGGTAAATTTTGCCTGAGGGAGTTGAAACCTTAGTTTCTTATCAAATTCTAAATTTATAAGCATCTATTTAAGGTTTTATGAAATCTCTTTTCAAATTATTACCAATATCTTTATCAAAATCAAAACTGAGCTTCAGAGTAACTGTGAAACTACCTACTCTAAGGGTGTTGTGCATCAGATGTGGATACTAATCAATTCCAAAAATGTTTAAGAGTATATACAATATCAGTCTCTTTCCTCTTGGAATATTAGACAAACATTTGACTTCTTCGCCCTTTACACTATTTTTCCTCGTTCTAAAGTTAAAGAACTAGCCCAACCTTGTCTCATAAAAAGAATGAACAACGGAAATATCTTGGTTAAGGATGGGTAAACTGCTCTTTGTAAAAAATCTTCTCTGAATCAAGTTAGAAATTATCTGAAACATCATCAAAATGTTTTTGTTCTTGTTTTATCAATGACATATTTTATTCGTTTAGAGGTTGTGTTTTTCAACAGACAATCGGCATTCCTTTGACACAATTATGCAGATACAGAAGCTTTTCACGAATAATGAAAAAAAGCTGACATTATCATTAAAGTTCACATTCCGCTATCTAGAGAATGACCTTGCATTAAATAACTCAAAGATTGGTGACTATGGTGAACGCATCTATCCCACTAATCTTGAAAAACGGAAACCACAAAAATTTGTACTCTCTTGCATATTGGATTTTCATCTAGAAATTAAAAATTACGGTCTCTTGATTACTTAACTTACATTAAAAGAGAGAATTCAAATTTTCACTGTCACTGAACATTTACCGTAGGGATATTCCAGCAGGGCCTGCAAATGGAAGTTTATATCTCTCTTTATTTACGATATGCCATGGTTTGCATTTTCTACCATGGTTTGCTTGATAGGGTTTTGGCTGAAGAACTCTTTTCAAGTAAGGTATTGAACCATGGGTACCAAATGACAAACTGCAGTCATCCGAATCGAACGATTTACGTACATTATGTAATATATGTGTTTACGATGATCAAGAATATGTTTTACTTGTCCTTATAACAAATCCGTCCTCTTTTCCTCGATTGGGACATCACCGAATGCGACTTATCGTCGTATTTTTAACTTGCCATTAGCAACATGACAGGTGCGACTTATGAAGTAGAGCAGGAACTACTTTTATGTGTAGTGTTTTGTGGACTGTTGTTTTGTCTTTATTTTTGGCCATGGTGTTGTTTATTTTCTTTGCATTATGATATATGTTTGCCCCATTGATATCTTCTCACACTTATTGGAGTTATAATGGTTCAATAATCCGTAATCTTTTATACTACTGTGAATTTTCTCTCTATCTTGATATCTTCTCACTCTTATTGGAGTTAAAATAGTTCCATAATCCGTAATCTTGTATACTACTGTGAGTTTTCTCTCTATTAAAGTAATTTATATAGCATTTTTCAGAAACTCATTCCCGGAATCACGAGTTATACTCAAAAAGTATAATCTGAAGATGAAGCTCAATTAAGAGTCAACATTGACGGTTTTTAATCCCTGTTGATTTAAAGATAATATTTGGTTTGTATAAATGAAAAAAATATTAATAAAATTTTGCCTTCCAACATACTCGTTATCGATTGATAAGCTGGAAATAATTGTAAGCTAAAGTAACGCATTGTTTTCTATTTTACTTTTCACCGTTGCTCTGTATTGCAGCGAACCAGTATTCATACCAGTATACAAAGCTTCCCAACAAGGGAAAGAATTTGGATTTAATTGTAATTGTAAATCAGATTCGGGCTTTCGGAAGTGAGTTTCTAGAAGTCCTATAAGCACGTCTTTTACGAATTAATGTCGTTAATGCATGAAAATCATGGCTTTAAACGCATGGAATATGTTATTGATTAAGGCGTGGCCTTGTGATTTGTAATATCAATGGGCGATGACACATGTCAAATGCTGACAAATTGAACTTAACTGTGTTTTTCGTAAATTAAGTATGGCAATAAAGTAGTCGCGCTAAATATACTATGCACAAAACGTCTCTTAAGTTAATAAAAAATAACACATGGAAATGGCTTTTAGAAGGATTTGTATTTCAGATACATGTTCATGTAAATGAATCGTTGTCGCGGTACTAATATTGAGGTTTACCGATCCAAGAGCGATTCATGTGTTATTTTTGTATACCTCTTTTTAAATTATTAACATCAATTTTATCAGCAATCAAAGCCGGGCTTCAAAGTTATTGTGAAACTACCTATTCTAGAGGTGACGTGAATCAGATGTGGATACTAAAAAATTCCAAAGATCTTTTAGAGTATATGCAATATAAGACTCTTTCATCTTGCAATAGCATTAACACATTTGACTTTTCTACACTTTACACAAGTATTCCCCATTCCAAACTAAAAGTCAAATTGAAAGAGTTGGTCCTGCTTTGTTTCATAAAAAAGAATGGCCAACGTAAATACAAGTATCTTGTCTTAGGGAGGGATAAATCGTACTTTGAAAAATATCACTCTAATTCAAAGAAAAAATTCTCTGAAACTGACATTATCAAGATGCTTGATTTCCTGATTGACAACATATTTGTTACGTTTTGAGGACGTGATTTTCACCAAACAATCGGTATTCCTATTGGAACCAACTGTGCTCCTATTCTTGCCGACTTGTCCCTTTACTCATATGAGGCTGACTTCATACAGGACCTTCTTAGGAAGAAAGAAAAGAAGTTAGCATTATCCTTTAACTTCACTTTCCGCTATATAGATGATGTTCTCTCACTAAATAAATCAAAATTTGGAGACTATGTTGAACGCATCTATACAACAGATACAACAGTTACAGTTAAATCTGCCTCATATTTTGACTTACATCTAAAAATTGACAATGATTGTCGTTTGAAAACAAAACTTAACGACAAAAGAAATGATGTCAGCTTCCTAATTGTGAATATCCATTTGTATGTAGCAACATTCCAGCAGCGCCTGCATACGGAGTATATATCTCCCAGTTGATACGATATTCTTGGGCTTGTATTTCCTATTATGATTTCCTTGAAAGAGGGTTGCTTATTAAACCAACAGTTCCAAGTGGTGAGGTTGAAATCATCACCTCGTAAATTTTACGGACGCCATCACGATTTGGTTGACCATTATGGAATATCCGTTTCACAGATGACAGCGGATATGTTCCAATTGTCGTAACTACAATCCCGTCTACTTTTTCCCGGGTTTTTACTTACATGAGCAACACGACGGGTGCCACATGTGGAGCAGGATCTGTTTACCCTTCCGGAGCACCTGAGATCACCCCCAATTTTTAGTGGGGTTCGTATTGCTCAGTCTTTAGTTTTCTGTGGTGTGTTTTGTGTACTGTTGTTTGTCTGTTTGTCTTTTTCTTTTTTTTTTAGCCATGGCGTTGTCAGTTTATATTCTACTAATGAGTTTGAATGTCCCTTTGGTATCTTTCGCCTCTCTTTTATTGCATAGTATTTTTTCTCCGAAAATTCTTAAGGGGATAGATGCAAATTCTTATTCTGTGTATACCTGCTTTTAAAGCCCGAATAGGACGTGTAGTTTTAGAATAGTTAAACGTAATGATAACAAGGGCTTATATGTTTTAAAGCAAATGTTCCCAACAATAAGAAAAGGATCGATTTATTGATCGGTTGTTAATTGCTTAAGTTTGTATGCATACAAAATATTTGAAGCATGTTCGATTCACGGAGAAAAACGTTTATAAAGTGGAGGAAATTACTGGATATACAGTCACATATATTTTTTTCTAATAATGGTATTGTATTTCTTTATTTATTTTTATACAAAACTTGACAGGAAAAGTTCCGTTTGCGATAAAATCGTTATACGGTTCACTACTGACCCCTACGGATCCATAGAGGTTAGTAAAATACATAGGGGAATCGGGCTTCGGCCTCACTCCCTATGAATTTTTACTAACCCTCTATGGGTCCATAGAGGGTCAGTAGCAAACCATATAACTTAAAGTGTCCAACCAAAATGTCTGTATCTCCTTTAAATCCATTGGGCAGGGTCGATGGGAAAGGATAAAAACGAGGACATGGTCTCCCTTAAATCATATCCTAGGTAAGTGCAACCAGTTTATCTGGTTTATAAGCTTTTGGTATTTCTAGAAATTTATGAATATCGCCTCCTCAAATATAGACACGTTATTTCTTTTGTAGCTCCCCTCGTGCATTCATTTGCTTCAAATTTAGGGATTCATGCTTTGATTTAGGGTTAGGCAAATAATGAGTTAGACTGGTGGTAGGGTAAGGTCTGGGCAAGAGTTAGTTTGAAAACCACTTCCCCGAATTTATGTTTTAACTATTTTTCAGAATGCATTTTATTTAAATGTATAAGGAAATTTTACGGTCATTGATTTTACATTTTGTTTTATTCTTTTAACATTCACTAGTCCAAGAAGGCGGAGCCAGACAGTGCAATAACAACGTCTGAGATGGAAAAAAGTAAAATAGAAAAAATATCGGACTCCAAGGAAAATTCAAAACGGAAAGTCCTTCATCAAATGACAAAATCAAAAGGTCAAACACAACAAACGAATGGAAAGCAGCGTCATATTCCTGACTTGGTGCAGGCAATTCTTTAAATAGAAATGGTGGATTTTATCTGGTTTTATAGCTAGCTAAACCTCTTACTTGTATGACAGTCGCATAGAATTCCATTATATTGACAACAATGTGTGAGAAAGCAAACAAAACAAAATGGCATATAGACACTCTATAGAAAAAGCACATAAGCAAACAATGAAAGACAATCATAAAACAAATGACCATAGCACAATAACACAAGGGTATGATGTATACATACCGAGCCACGTCAAAAGGATATTACCAAAAATGGACTAAACAGTAATAGTTACAAAGACATATAAAAAAACCACTAAAACACTTAATTAAGATGATAGACAACGTCAGCATCTAGAATCTATACTTCAAGACCATCATGTATTGTTTGTGAAGTTGATACTGAATATTTATCAACAAGGTCTTGGTGTCTTCCGATGAACTTTTTTTTAGAAAAAGGACGAGACATTCTTTGACCTAACCCTGGTTATCAACATTCTACTCAAGACACTGGTGACGTTTTATAAAGTCTGATTAGCCGCTGCAAGCTCTTGAATACCGAATGAGTTGGGAAATGTATATCCCATATGCAGGTGAAATAATATAGATACGATGGATAAGCGTTGGTTCGTTAAAAAAAACCATGAACCCGGAGGGTGAATGGTTTCTTTTAACGATCCATCGCATATCCATTGTGTCTTTTATATAAACTTTTCTCGAAATGTCTTTTTCAAAATTATATTTCTTTCATTATTTAGGCCCTATTATCAGCTACTTCAAATAACCACATTATTATCCACATAAAAACAACCATTAATTAGAAGTATACAGATAGCGGATA